TGTGTGTGTGTGTGTGTGTGTGTGTGTGTGTGTGTGTGTGTGTGTGTTCCCTCAGCAAATAGTCATGTTCAAAATAATCTTCAAAACTATCCCTCTGGCAATGTCACTGTCTTTTAGAGCTCAGTTTCCAGAAAGAATACATCTACTGATATGTCCACTTTTTCACCTTTTATTTACTCTTCAATCTCTTGCCATCTGATTTCTACCTTATTGCTTCAGTGTACTGCTGAGAACCCTGACCCAAGTGTCATTTCCAGTGGATACAATTCAGGCCTTACTGACCATTCCTTTGAAGGTCTCTCCTCTTTTGGGTTTCTGAGATACCGCTTTCTCCCTCCCGGCTTTTCTCACCTGTGCACAGGTCTTCCCCTCTGCATATCCACCAGTAATTCCCAGAGGCTACGTGGGAGGGGAGGCCCTAAGCCTGGATCTTCTAGTCTAGGCCTGGCCCTGAGCCCCAGGTCCTGTTCCCAACTGTCTGTGGACATTATCTGGATGTGCAAAGGCATCGCAGGCTCAACGCTATCACAACTGACTCAGTTGGCCAAGCCATCCTGGACTCTTCCCTCTTCCTCATCTCATTGTGTCTCTAGCATTGGCCTTTTGCATGGTTATCAAATAAGACGATTACTTCAACAAAGATAGCTCAACTGAATGATTTAATAAAGTCTCTATTTTTAGATCCTTGGCACTCCTTGTGGTGTCCCCTCTTGTCAAAGTTGTAGAGGAAAACAGAAGCAGCCTGGTGTCCACCACACAATTGCTATCAGGTTTCTTTTCGTCATCCACCAGTCCTGCAACCTGGTGGCTTCTATGGTATCTGTAGCAGGCAGAAGGCCCACCATTTGCTGCTTTAGAGTCACGGTTTCCAGATCACTTGCCAACAACTGCAGATTGCCATTCTTCCTAGGGACCACCAAGCCTTTTGTAACTCGATGTCTAAGGAAACAGCTGTGCATATTAGGATGAACGTACTGTCATAAAAAATGAACTAAATTTAAATAAAAATATCTAATATTGCCAGGGCAGGTCTAGTTCCTTGTAAAAAAGCAAGGTATTTCTTTCAGGAATAGCCTTTTAAAAATAAAGTTCATGGATCTGACCACTCTAGTGTGTTAACTTGCAACTACATAGGAATACCACCCAATAGTTCAGAAGAATGTAAAAATACAGTACCTCAGATTTTTTTTGGTCAACTTTTTGGATGTAGAGGATCTTTTTTTTTAAGAAATTAGAAGAATATGAAAAACATTTAGATTCCCATCACAGTGCACCAACAGTAACAGTTAAACGAGGTTTGACTGCTGAAGTCTCATAGGACTTAAAATGACAGTGCTTATAAATCTATATAGTTTATTACAGGAAAAGGACACAATATAGCAATAGTATTAAAGTAACGACATGCATCACAGCCAAAGGCCATCTCACAGCAAAGAGTCCAGGGCAGCCAAGCCCGACCTGCATTTGTTAGCCTTCTGTAAGGGCTGTCTAGACACACTTTCTCAGATCTGGAACCACCAATATGAGCACGGACCATCTCAGAACCAAGGAGCCCAAGGTAGAGTCTCAACCAGGGTTTCTCATCCCCTGTTGGTCACGTGGGCATATACTTGCTATGTAACCAGTTCCAATGACAGAACCCTCTGGGTGTCTCGGACCAGGTGCAAGTCAATTTCACTGTTATCAATAAACAATGTCAAAAGCTTGCCTTGAAACTCCTCCCACCCATGGTTACAAAGCAGCACTAATAATCAGTAGGTGTTATGCCTGGACCAGAGGTCAGTGTCAGGTGGGTACATTTCTTATTTTAGTAAAAGAGTTCGGGCCAATTTCAGGTCTGCAGGAATTAACCCTCACAGCACGGACTAACCCCTCATCCATGGTCAAGACCATTTTAGGACAAAATGGTCACTCTTAGTTTGAGAGCCATTACTTGCTTGACGATATATAATCAAGTAGACAATCAAAATGTACATGAAAATTCCATGCATTTGTAATAATCCGTGGGCAGCTGGTATGGATTTAAACAAACAGCTGAAAATTCCAGCATAAACTTTCTCATACTTCTGAACTAACTTTACAATTTGTTTGTCTACTTCTTCTACAGCCATTGTATTTATGGTATGTATCTGCTGAGGGATTCAGGGACTGTAGTCGACCTACCATTGCTCAGGTCAAAATTTTCTTCATGCAGGTTCTCCTCCACAGGGATAATATCCTAAAGGGGTTTAGTTCAGTCTCCCAATATTCACATTTGATTGTCCATATCAGTATTATCACATGTTTTATTAGCTTCTACAATATCAGTTTTACCCAATTATCTAATGTAATTCTACCTTTAATCCTCCTCAGGTCAAGTTATAAGACATAGTCCTATAATTTTGTGGAACGGCCCTTCAATCACTTGTTTTCCCTCAGTTTAAAAAGCATATGTTTTGTTTATCCCCATTTTCTATTAACCCATTACTTTGAGAGTGACAAGTAATATTCTAAGCCTACTGAATATGTTTCTTTGCCTACCGTTTCACTGTATATATAGGCAGTGAAGTGTCTTGATCTGATCTGATGAAATGTAACTAGGAGGGCCAAACAGGAAGGTGATGTATATGTGTGTGTGTGTGCGTGTGTGTGTGTCTGCATGTGTGTATGTGGTTGTTGCAGTCCTTTGACAGAATTTGCAACACTGACTTTAGCCATTGGTAAGTGAAACCAAACCCTTAAGGCCAATATTTAAGTTGTCAAATAGGTAAAGGGACAATGTAATCTATTTGCCAGCTATATGATGGACCTTTTCCCCTGGGAATACTTCCCAGAGGAACCGAAAATCCTGCCTTTCCTGTTGGCAAATAGGGCAATTTTTATTAAGAGTTTGAGGCTCAGTAGGGCCAAATAACAGCTGGCCAATCCTCTTCAGGAGGCTCTATAGTCAGTCCTAGGGGAAAAGAGGCTACTTGCTTGTGACTACAGTGAGTTCCTCCCATGGAAACTCTCAGGAATATGCTCCCATTGTGTACCAAATCCATTTTAGGATGGAACTTGTTTGGGCATTGTCCTTCCTGTTGGAATGCTTTTCTAACATCACCCATGACATGCTGGTATTTCAGGTCTTAATATAATCTTATATCCTTCTATTATTGGAGCTGTTCCATAAATGCTCAGTAACAAGCCTGTAACTGTCTTCAAAAGGAATACACTAGAGAGTAGCATTTGGTACTTTTCCAGTTCAAAAGTCCAGGTCACCATTGAGCAGTAAATATTGCCTTTGGCCAGACACTCCAGTTGGCATGAGTGCAGGCAGCCAACACTTCTAATATTATTTCATCATAAGGATCATAAGGTCCTAATGGGATAATTTGGGCTACAGCCCTCTGTGGTTCTAAGAAGCCTTGTTGCTATTCAGCTCCTCAGTCAAATATAGCCTTTTTCTGGGTAATCTTACGAACTGAAACTAACGGTATCCCTAAGTGAGGGATACAATTTTTCCAAAAGCCAAACAGGCCCACTAGGTGTTGAGTCCCTACAGCCTGAGAGATGGGAAGAAATAATTTATTGCTCATTGTCTACAGTATGCAGTCCCTCCAAATTTCATAGTCTGTGTACAGCCCTGGATTTTTTTGGAGTTAATCAATTATCCCCAATTAGTTATATGATTTATGACCTTCATAAGGTCTCTTTTAGCTTGATCCTCAGATTCTGAGATAACCATATCACCAATATAGCATATTTGAACATTGTCCAGTTTTATTAGATCTAGGGCCCACCTGACCAGACTGTGACAGTACATGGGCAAGTTCAAATATCTTTGATGTGATACAGTAATTGT